TCTCACCATAAGTCTTACCATGCGATACTTAGTCATCCTCACCAAATTTTATTATTAATTATTGGTGCTGTATTTCATGTTGCTGGCAATATAGGGTTTACGGTTTTTAGATTCTCTTTTTATGCGTAAGTTATTATTCCATTCTTTTGCTTTCCTTATCTATTACTGTATAATTCCTGATACCAAATTATCATTTTTGCCTTTAATTGTTCATTATCACAGCCTTCTCGGGTTCTTTTTCAGTTACTGTGTTACATACCCTGCCTATGCTTACTATATCTATTTAGACCTTCACGTCACAAGTAATCATCCACAAAAGCGTATTTACCTCCCTGAAAATCCTTGGTGGAAGGTCGCCGTCATTTCTATTATTTCAATTTCTCTCTCGCTTTTAACTATTCGTGCTGGTGTATAATCAATAGCCATTTTTTGTCTCTCAAAAATCTTTTTTTTTTGTTATGTCAAATGTATTTTTAATGTTTAAATAGTGTTTTTGTCTAGTATTCTTAAATTAAAGAACTGTAAAATCTACTTTTCAACTGAGTTTGATGTAACAATTCTTTTATTTTAATGCATACAGTTCATCTTTGAAATTTCAATTATGCAAGGGTAAAAATATATTCTAAAGGCTTGTGAAGAAAAGTGAAGAAAAAGTTTTTTTTTTTATTTGAATGAGAAAATAATTTGTAAATTATGCCATTAATCACCCTTATATATCATCTCTGGTTATCTTATCGACAAATTACTATATTTGTACTTGAGGTTCGCGTTAAAATTTACATTCATATGATAGGAAATGACTTATTATTGAGGATGCATTATATAAGTTATATTGTGCAGTCGAAACTTAAATTAAATTGGTGCAAAAAAGTACAGCTGACTGTCTCTTTGTAAGCAAATTTTTATCGATAATAAATACATATAGCAACCAGTTCATGCATCCAAGTTTCTATAGACTATATTGAAAATAACCGTTACCAAGTACCGTAAAAGTTCATATACAAGACCCGAGTCTGTCACATCCGCCAAAAAAAAAAATTAATTAGTATAAAAAACGAGGACCTGATTAGTGACAACTCGTGACTCGAATAATTCGAGTTCGAATCATAAATTTTTTTACCGTACCCTATCGTGAATAAGCACTACACCCTCTACCCACTTTTTTAAATATCAGATTAGCGGTAATAATTTGGCTAAAGACTTAATTGCGATTTCCGCTAATATGACATTTAAAAATTGGGGTAAAAGGTATAGTGCTTATTCACGATAGGATACGGTAACTCGCGAGTACTCACGAGTTAATTATTAATGTATAATGAAGTTTAAAATGACTAATACTTTGCATTAATAAATTTTAATTTTTATGTAATTATATGTAATTCTTTAAAAACTACGTACGTAATTTATTGCAGTCGCAAATTTTTAATAAAAATAAAGAAGTTAAAAGACTTAAAACCAATATCATAGTATAAACATAGAGCAAAACAAAAGCACTAATGAACGGGAGGAATCTTGTAATACTGTAAAGAGAATGTCAAACACAACTACCCATATGTCTAAAAGTAGGTCTACTCCAAGTTTCGTCTGAGAATATTTTCGAAAGGAGGGTATAACTTCCACTTGTGAAATTATAATGGATGACAGGAAGAATATGATACTCACATAATGATGGACTTCAAATTTAAATTAACCACCTGGCCCGTAAGCACAGGATATTTAAAGATAGTTCTAGTTGATCTAGTGATATAATTATGAATCAGTTTATTGCATTCGTAACTTGTGGTTGATATATTTGCTTTATAACACATAAATTAAATTATACTTGTTTTTATAACATACAAAATTGAATTATATTTGCTTCATGTAACTCGCTATTTGAAGTAATTAGTTTTTGTAATTTGCAATTTATAAAATTTATCAATAAACTAATTGCCATGACTCGAATTACTTGAACAAAACTCGACTAAGTAATTCAATGATTCAAGCACTCTTCTTGGTTTAATTCGCGAGTCACGAGTTTATACGAGTCCAGTCACTAGATCTGATACATGCAGTGTTCTCAAATGACCGTGTCATTTGCATATTTTAAAAGTCATTTGAATTGGAAGGCTCAAATATCAATTTAATTAATTTAGTTATAAAGTTTATTATACTAACTAATAATATACTAGATACAATATTATCAGTTACCTTAGTGAAAAAAAATTGGTTGTTTGGTCATTTAAAGTCATTTGAGAACACTGGATACATGGGGGAATCTTGTATATGAACTTTTACGGTAAATTTTATTATGCTAACATGCTCTGAAGAATTTTAGGTCAAAGTAATTAATTTTTGAAACGAACATATTTCTTTACTAGTACTCATCGGTTCAAACTTCGGTTTGAATTATACCTCATTAATTAACGAAATTTAAATTCTAATGAAATACATAAATTCTTTCGAGAATTATTGTCGCAGCTGATGCTGAAAACGGCTGATGCTGAAATTTCGATTATTTTATTATTAAATTTTTAAAAATTTTCGGGCCTTTTCGTAGGGGTTTTTTTTTAGAGTTAGGTTAGGGTTTGAGGGTAGTGTTGTTAGTAAAAAAGTATATGTGAATTTTAGTAGGCATTATAGATTTAAATGGGGACCCCAGATTTCAGCATCAGCTGCGACAATTATTATTCTTATATTCTGGTGCGAACAGTTAGTTTAAGGACTTCCTAAATATTAAAATTGTATCTGTAAAAAAAACTGCAAATTGCAGAAAAAACGTGACTAATAGTTTTGATGAACTCTATCAAACCACGTATTCTATTTTATAAAATTTTCATTTTATTGAGAAAATACAATTATAAGATATGTATCACACCATGCAACTTATCGCAACAGCCATAATAGCGGTAAGGGTGACTATGTAACCTCACTAGATCTTGTACTGTACATACGTACCTTTTCATTCTTATCGCGATATATGACATAAAAATTACAAATCCATATGTTACGCGATCCAACAATGCCAAGAAAAGAATAATAACATTGCAATACTTGCCAGTTCTCATTATTTCTCTAACATCAAAACCTAGTAAAGAAAAAAATAGCAATCTAATTAAGGGAAAGGGAAATGGGAATAGAACGTTTATTTCGAAGCTTTCCTCTTTCTGTCTTTTGTAGGGTTGTTAACGAAGTGGTCTAGAGTGATTCGGTGTATACTCCACATCAAAACCAAACCAAACCAGAGTTACTACTCCAGATTAAACTATAATTTTATCTGGAGTATGTTATTCCGGATTAAATTTTACAGTATATCTTGCTAAATTAGATATTTAGAACAAGTTCATGTGTTATAATGCTGATTGCCTTAATAAAACTTTATCTTTAATAGACAACAACTGATAAAATTATTTATATTTTTAATCTGGAGCATAAACACTATCTGACTCCTATAACAATCTGGAGTGGTGTAGCATACACATCACACCGGCATGGAGTTATTTATACTCCTAAATTACTCTAGAGTATAATACTCCATTAATAGCCCACTCTCTTGTATGAAGAACTTCCTTCTAACTTTCTATCAGAATGGAAAATGAATTAACTTGAAAAATCAAAAAAAGAAGAGTAAGAAAAAAAAAGAAAGTAAATGAAAAAAAAACTAATAAAAGAAAAGGAAAAAATTAATCATGGTTTGTTGTTTGCATTATCGTGTCTACATATTTTCTAATCTTTCCCTTTTTATTTTTTCTGGCACACACCTCTTACATTATCGACCAAGACATTGAAAGAAATTGACAAGCTTGTATAAAAGCCAATTTTTAGTCTTACATTGCATGAAATCTGAAGCCGATTATGTGTTTTTTTTAATCGTAATATTGTGGAGTTAACTTTATTTGTAACGAACTGGTGATTTGAGAATTATTATGTTTCCATACGGACCAATGAAACTTTATAATGAAGTAATATTCAACATATCAAGTTATAAAAGGACGCGTTGAAAAAGGGTAATTTCATTGGTTAAATTGATTCATCAAGGGTTGCGTCAATCGTTAAGAGTTTTGTCACAGTGTTGTCAACTGGACTAATTGGACCTAGCAATTGGACCAATTGGAATATGCAAATGACACTGAATTTTGTGAATACATTGACGAAACCATTTCGTCATTACAAAAATAAGGAATGGACAAGATTACATGCTTTAATTAAGTTAAATTGATTGCATTATATCATTGAAGAATTGATCTTTCAAGCTAAAATATCTAGTTAATTTATTAATTTTGACGCCGGATAGACTTTAAAAATTTCAGAAAAATGCAGAACATGGTTTGGTTTTTCCCAAATAGTTTCGTCAGGCATAATTAGCATCCTGAACTTCCGGGTCAAAATCCATCAATGCTGGGCCGGCATTAAGCAATACTAGCTAAACCAAGCCTAAAAGTAGAAATCATCTGCTGGTATTTTTACTTAATGAATGGATCGTGACTAGTTGTGTTACGAAAGTTACAACTTACAATACCTGTAATATTATCTAAGTTTCAGTAAATCAGATTTCATGTACGTTATATAAAGTGTCGGCTTTAAAAACGTTTGGCCAGTATTATTGTATCGAATACATGATCCCAATTGAAACATAATTCTGACCCAGATGACCAAGACTCCGATGTCTCTCTCATATGAATTCCTGTGTGCCACTGAGATTACCAACCGAAAAGAGAAGGATTCGAATCATGTGCTATCATGATTTAGGATATGATTGGTTTTAGGATGCTGTTTTTCGGGTTAATATGCGATGTATAGCAGCATCGCACCTTGGATGCAATATATTATTGTAACGCAGGCTAATTAACTCCTTTAATTAACAAAAATTTAAAAAGAAAATTATTTAATAGGTTTAAAATCTTGAAATATTAAAACGCGTCATGTTCTCTAGTTAGAACAGAACTAAGCAATTTACAATTTCAATTTAATATAATTTAGAACTGAATTTATTTTTACATAATCAGATATTAAATTTGGCTTCAATCTCTTCGTGGAACATGTATTGTGAATAATATCGACTCGATATGCTTCATTGGACAAGAGTCACAATGCCCCTTTTTAAAATACTGCTTCTTGACATTCCTCATTACAACATATAATACTACAATAGTGTACATATATCCTTCTTTAAAATGACAACTCAATAGTTGACGTTGGCCTTGATAATTGCAGCCAAGTTTTTTGTTTGGGCAATAAACTAATAACTCGTTAACCATATTGAATATTATCTCGGAAACAGGTTTAAGATCACTGACATCAGAAAGTCTGGAACGGTCAACTGGGCAAGTTGGTCTTGATTTTATGGCTTGACTTATACAAGACCTACAAAAAGTGTGTCAAAAATAGATTTCATCAGCACATTTTAGCATTTAATATACGTTAAGGAAACCACCAATTAGTTACCCGCATGACTCTATAACTACCGGATCAATGAAGGGAGTCTGACAAATGTAACAAATAAGATTCGAGTTGACAGCCTCAACGTAAATCAGAGAACGCAAATCTAACGCGTGCTGTATATCTTCAGAGTACCTGGAGATAAGGTAACACAATTAAAATGCTTTGCATTAGTTAAGTAATATATAGCAAGCAAAAATGAAAATTTACTGTTGGATTTCTGATCGTCGTCATCAATGGGCTCATGTCCCGAGGAGCTCGTTGGAAAGTTTTAGGTGAGGGTGAGGATTCTTCTAACTGCATATTATTCCTTTTATCACCGATTATAGAATCTTGAACAAACGTTCAACGACGTGCTTCATTGATTTGAGTTGAATTGCCCGTTACCAGGTTTTTAACTTTCTTCACCTAAATGATAAATTTTTATTTTAGTAGTTTTTTTTTTGTAAAATTTTCAGAATCTAACGAATCTAACTTACTTTTACATTCGCAGTTTTCATACGACGCTTCAAGCTCTTCCCTGGTGAAATTGACCAATCCTTAAAAAGTAAAATGGTGAATTAATATTTATAAAATTATATTTAGTAGAGATTGTACCCGTCAAGAAAATCTCTGCCCAGGTATTATTAATTCGTAGGTAGCTATCCTTCAGGCTAACAGACCCAGCTTGCACTAAGTGTCGAACTAGCAGTTCATAACTGGTGGCTAGCAGACCCAGCTTGCACTAAGCGTCGAACTAGCAGTTCATAACTGTTGGACCAAGCTCTTGGATTATCATCCATCCTACTAAAAATTAAAAATATATTTTTACTTAACTTTCCATCGATTAAGAAACTGCCACATTCTGAAGATCTTCTTTTATGCAATCTAACGTTTTTCTTCGATTTCTTTTGATAATGTCCGGTTATCGGTCAAGTTCGTACTGTAGAAATCCATTGAAAAAATTAATATTTATAAAATTATGTTTACTAGAGATTGTACCCGTCAAGAAAATCTCTGCCCAGGAGCTATCCTTCAGACTAGCAGACCCAGCTTGCACTAAGTGTCGAACTAGCAGTTCATAACTGATGACTAGCAGACCCAGCTTGCACTAAGCGTCGAACTAGCAGTTCATAACTGTTGGACTAAGCTCTTGGATTATCGTATCCATCCTACTAAAAATTAAAAATACACTTTTACTTAACTTTCCATCGAAAAAAAAAGCTGGTAGGAAGTGATAAGTGTGTAAAATAAGAAATATTGGTTAAAGGGAATTCGGGAATAATTTATATTATTTAATGGGTGTGGGTATGGGTAAACAGGTAATTATTTTTTTTAAACGCGTTGAAGCTTTTAAAGAAGGTAAGTAAACGCATGATATGCGATAATGTGCAACGTGAAAAGTTGAAAACGCGAGCTTTAACAATAAGTATATTATAAATAATATCGATAGTGGAACCGTCGATGTTACACGACTGATTCTTCACCGGTGTGTAACATATAAAAAGTTATTTTTACAATACCAGATCATTCCGCTAGTAGGTACATGTAATATCGAATATCGACGGTTCCTCCTGTTATATAGTGTGGTAAGATGGATGGATTCCCGGGCGGGTATGGGTAGTTTTCTAAAGAAGGTAAGTAGACGCATGATATGTGATAATGTGTAACGTGAAAAGTTGAGAACGTGAAAATAATATAGTGGAACAGGAGGAACCGTAGATGTTACACGACTGATTCTTCACGCGGTGTGCAACATATAAAAAAGTTATTTTACAAAAGGTAGATCTGGTATTGTAAAATATTTTTTTTATATGTTGCACACCGGGTGAAGAATCAGTCGTGTAACATCGACGGTTTCTCCTGTACTGCTGTAAGGGTAAGATTGGTAAGATGGATGGAAGATCTGAAATTTCTGACAAAATTAAATTACACTTATGTCAGAAAAACATATTCATGTTTATTTTAATCGAAAAGTCTCTAGTTGGGATATTAAAGACTTCTTAGATTGCTACGAACTCGATGACATAAGTGACAAAATAAGTATTTACCTTAAATCTCTTGAGGCCATCGCCAACACTGAGGAAGGACAAAAGTGCGAACGAGCAAAGGAATTGCTTGCAAGATATAGGGAAGTAAATTCATGCTTTTTCTTTGTCTTTAGTTAAAAGCTATAGAATTTGATGGCGTGTGCGGGATCTCGAAGGTCTCGTATCATTCAAGTCTCAAAGGCGAGCCACGATGTTAGTGCTGGGGCGTGGGAAATCTCGAAGGTTGTCTTACGTTCAAGGCTTAAAGTTGACCTGGCACTAACCCCATTGTGGCGTGGGCAATCTCGAAGGCTGTCTTACGTTCAAGGCTCAAAGTTGACCTGGTGGGATAAAAATAGGAGGATACGATAAATACACTAATCAATAATATTACTAACTTACCAAATTTTACGCGTTAGGGTTCTCGACCAGATCGGAAACTTGCTCGAAATTGGGAAAGTAAACATAGAAAGATGTCTAGTGAAGCTTCGACTTCGATTAACTTTTACGGGGATATACAGAACAATGGGATCATAGCGTCAGAAGCTACTAAAAATAGGAGTGTGACGAATACAACACACAGAAATACCGACCCGGGCGGGTAGGTAATTGTTTTTTTAAATGCGTTGAAGCTTTCTAAAGAAGGTAAGTAGATGCATGATATGCGACAATTTAGGGATGGAAAATGTTTTAAAACAAAATCATGATTGTTTGATTTAAATGATTTAATACATTCGACGAAATCATAATACGTAACAATGGGATAGTATTTATTTATTTAACTAATTCATCAAAATACAATTATATCGTTATCTCTTTTTAAAATATAAAATTATAAACGATCATGCTTCGTAGGAGACCTCTATTAAAAGAAATTCGCTTGAACTTTACAAAAGTTACGGAAACTGCACCTCGCCAAAAGTGTAACTACTATAGAGAGGACTTTGTGGATTTAGTCGCTTGATTAAAGGATCACTTATGTAGATGCAAGAAGTATGAAAAATTTATTAAATAATGAACGGGTAAAAAAATTGGTGCAGTCTATCAGAATTTAAGAATTCAAAAAGGAATTGAGATTGACATAATTAAATTTATAGTTATACGAACAAAAAAAAATTATATATATATATATATAAATAGTTAAACAATTGCACATTTCTTGTAATTATATAATAACGAAATTTTATAAAGTGAATATTTTTTCTTTAAAGTTATTTTTATGAAATTTGGTGAATCGGTATTTTAGCACTAAATTTTAAATTTTAGTCTCAGCGCCAATGGTTTAAAAAGTTTTTTAAAAAGGTTTAAAACATCTAAAAAACTGTTTAAACCGTTTTTTTTTCATCCCTAGCGACATATGGTGTGCAACACATAAAAAATTTATTTTACAATACTTGATAATACTTGATCATAGGGATGTTAAGTGGTGCGTCTGGTCCGTTCCATAGAAAGTTCGGTCCAGAACTAGTTGAAAGCTAGTTCACCCCTTGTTAAAAACAAGTTCTATAGTAGTCCTACCCTGGCGGTTTAATATAGATTTTATAATACTTTTTATTACAAACTTTACCATTATTGATCGAAAAGTCGGCATTTAACTAATTTTACCAATTAGAGTATCTGTCATTGATTTCCCAATTAGCGAAGCGAAAGTACCACCACTCAGGGTGTATTGTTATTGATTCACATTTTATTGAATTTTATTTAATGTGTTAAAAATGACACTCTATTCATATTATGTGAGAGCTGGACCAGTTTTCAACTAGTCCTACTAGTCCCTAAAAAGTCCGGGTTTGGACCTGGCCCAAACTGGTTCCCCGTGGACCACTTAACATCCCTACTTGATCAGTCCGCTAGTAATCATTTATCGTTATCGTTATTATAATAAAAAATGGTGTTGGATTATAATCATAACACGGACTGTAAAATAATTTTTTATGTGTTGCACACCGTGTTGGGGTGTGGCCTATCAGTCAATTTACAAACAGTGCAGGCCATATAATAAATTCTAATATAAAGATTTTTTATAGATCTATATAATAAAATTCAAGCCGCAATAACTCTTGAACCAGCAAATCCCCATAGATAAAATTATACTTGTCGGGTTTGCTTTAAAATACTCTTTAAAGTAATAATGCTCTTTTTTTGGAGTTCTTACAAGTAAAAAATTAAAATCGTTATGAGATTTTTTGTGTTACACAACATGCAACGATGACAGACAGAAATCTCAATGTTACGTTTTTGATATTTTCATTAAAAAAATATCAAAAACGAGAATTTTGCATAGAAACAGAATGTTTTCTACTATACTCCAAACAATGAAAAAATAAAAAAAGGCGTTATTACTATAAAGAGTATGTTAAACCGAACTTACAGGTTGAATTTTATATAACATTTGTCGATCTATAGAAAATTGTCGACAGTTACACTAACCAGGTATAAATATGATTGTCATAAAAATTGGATAAATTTGACATTTAAAAAAAAAATTTTTCACAATGATTCCAATTACACACAAAAAAGCCTTGACCTCTTCCATGGTCTCGTCTACTTCTGGAAAATCTGCTCCAAAACGTAAAGCAGAAGTAGACAAAAGAGATACGAACCCAAATAAAAAAATTATTAACAAAAAGGAACCCCAAGCAGAAGTAAGCGAAGATACTGGATACAACTGTAAGTTTATTTTACTTGAAATAAGTGATCCGGCGATCTGATTTATTTATTTTTAAACGCTCCCACATTTCATTTTCCGAATTTAAAATCTTGAAAAACAAATATATTTTTTCAAACTTTCATTTAATTTCAAAATGTGCCACTTATTTGTTAACTTTGAAATTCTTTATTTAATATATAGTTCTTGTCAAATATTTCATAGACAAGAAAGAAAAAAAAATTATTCATATTACAATTTCCTCTACAACAAACAAAAAGAAATTACTCAAGTTTTACGATCAATCAACCAAACGTATAATTGGGTGTCAATATACAATGCTTGGTACAAGCGGTAAGTCAAAGTTGCTGAGAAACAACTTGACAAGAAAAGTTTCATGGAATTAAAAAATGAGGTGTGATTTTAATTCTTTAGAATTCAAATGGGCTGGATAGAGAAAGAACCAAACAAATCGCACAAAGAATTTAGAGGAATTTCCCGGGACCAGAACCTGGATTGATTAATGATATGTTATTTGTGTTGGAATATAATCGACATTTCTGATTTAAAAATTTTCTTATTCCGTATTACTCACCGGCTATTATAATGATTATAATGTAATATAGAGTATTGTATTGTATGTGGATTGGTTAATGATATGTTATTTGTGTTGGAATATAATCGACATTTCTGATTTAAAAATTTTCTTATTCCGTATTACTTACTCGCTGTCGTAATATAGAGATTGTATTGTATGTGGATTGGTTAATGATATGTTATTTGTGTTGGAATATAATCGACATTTCTGATTTAATAATTTTCTTATTCCGTATTACTTACATACTGACGGAAGGAAGTTGGACGCTCAGAGATAGTTGACCGTATTGAATGTATTACGTTAGATACGGGTCGAGATGGTTATTAGAAGTTATTCTTATTAAGATATCGTTATGAGTCATACAAAATGTATTAAATTTATTTTTAAAATAATTATATTCATTTATTAAAATAAGCTTGAGTTTTTATAATACATAGTTATATATACAATATGTTTGAATCGATAACGATTGATGATTTCAAAATTAACAGATAAGTAGCGCATTTCGAAAACAAGCAGGATTTTTTAAATAGCATTTATTATGTTGAATTATAAATCGGAAAAATAAAATAAGTTTCTCGATTTTAATTTTGAAACCTCCATTGGTATTAAAAAAGAATAATAATTAAACGTTCTTAGATATTTCACTCAACAACTAAAGAATAAAATACGGGTCCGTTTTTTTATTGAGTTGCCATAATCAAACAAAGCGTAAAATTCATATGGGGCCTTTGCGGAATTTTTTAGAAGACTCGTATATCATGAGATTACCTGATATACTAACCAATAAAAATATATATATTGCCAGCATGGACCCTTTCTACTACAAAGGCCCCATATTTTACATCACGAGCCCACGAAATTACAATCTTAACGGTAATTGTGCTGACCAAATAATTTAATACATCAATTAATCAATGATCTTTATATTACAACCTAAATTAAACTGAATAAATGAACTTAAATAAATTTTTTTACTTATCTACTAAATTGACGCGAAGTATTAATGAGCTCGAATAACTTAAATACTCTTCAATCGATTAAAATAGACATAATACTATAATATGATTTAGTTTCTGCGATTACAACATAATTTTGCTATTTATCACCACTGGTGATCATCACCGGTGTTGTTATATCTCAAAAACGTACTACAGTAAGTAAACGGGATCGGGTCCTCTAAGTAAAATGTTCAGGACCCCCAAAAACCTCACGAGAACTGAGGTCGGGCCCTATCGGGCCCTTATAGTAGCTATATATATTATATAAAAAAAACAATAATTCTCTAATTTCTAACCCTAACCCTAACTAATCTTAGGACCGGTGATGATCACCGGTGGTGATATGTAGTAATTTTCAACTTTAATAAATAAATATGTGAAATAAAAATAACATAACTGCAAAATCAAATCAAATTAAATATTTAATAGATTTGATTTTGATTTGATTTTTTCGAATCAAATATCAAAAACATTTGAATTTGATCAAATCAAATCAAATCAAATCAAATATAACATTTATTTGATTTTGATTTGATTTTGATTTGATATTTGACTATTATACTAGAAACGTGATATATAATATTACGAAGTGTATAATTTATAGGCATTTTTTAGTGATGTATGTTCGCAAAATCCATAATTGAATTAAATGCAATAAAACGTGATTAAACTTCACGTTATTGTATCATAAAGCACTATATTTATAGATTTGTTTAACCATAATAGACATTTTTCATTGCTTTAACAGGTTTTCTCAATTAAAGTGAATGACGATTATCGTTATTTATAAAAATGTGCTTTTTCTTATTATTGTCCTTCGTGATAACTCATACGATCAATTTTGACCAAGACCACTAATAATAAAAATTCCCAATAATATTATTATAGCTCATGCTAACCAGTATAACCAACCCTAGCTCTAACCCGACCCGGAAATTTAGGGATCCTCCTGTAAAATGTCTTCAGAGCCTTATCCGAATCTTGTTTTAGCTGCAATTGAATCGGTAAAGCCATAGTTATTGAAGCCACAACTTGTGTTATGGCTAGACAATGACTTGAACCATTGGCTCAAGCTGTAGTAGATAATACTGTACCGAGACCGTATTGCATTAAAATATTATTGTTATTACGTAGCTACAACAATAATCATTTTAAAGCAATGTAGTATTTAGAGAAGCCATACAACTCTAAAAATCTTTAATAGGCTGAAATTGGTTTACAAAACTCTTTGCCATATAATGTCAGGTTTTCACATGGTATTTCTTCTTATTTAATCAATTGAACGTTATCAATCAACATATTAATTAATCTCTCGTTTAAATTTTTATTCGTATCGATTTAAAATTCTCTCAAGCACATAGTTAATAGGTCAAAGCTCAACTTCTAAATTGTGGAAAGTATCTTAACCAGTAAGTAGGTTCATTATCTCGATGAAAAAAAAAGTTTGAAACCACCTTAGACTTGTTCTGATTAGCTAAAATTTATTATCCCGCATTTTGCAATATTAATCTATTAGCAATTAATCGTAGTGCATTATGCACAATTTCGGAAGCTAACTAATCTTATTGAGAGCACCATTAGTCTCTAAGTTTAGTAATTATTTATTAGTTTGATTGATCTAAGTATTTAATATGAGCTGTTTACCTCTCATTTAGCTTCTTATCCACATTAGTCTTCTGTATAATTATTATCTGCCAAGAACATTTCTAATTATGCAGATTTATATAACCAGACCTGTATAGTATGGGGTGTAAAATACTACCTACTTTTAATATCTATTCTGCATTATATATTATTAGGGTTGGCTTTAGACAATTAGTATAAAATGTTTTTAAAGAGGTATTTTATACTCTATACTAAATACCAACCCTACATACATCTAAAAATCTTGTTTAAATTACGTTTCATATCAATATACTTATGCTGAATTTAGTTATATTCTTGATATTTATTTATTTCAAAACTATATATATTCTGGATTGGATTTGTTCAACATTTTCTAAATTAAGCTTATATTCATCCGTTCCTGGTTTAGCGCGACAATGTCACGCAGCTAATTATTAATAATTATGCCCGGTAATGTTAACACTATGGTAGACACTAATGCTGGCAATAATCCGAATATTACTAATTATTTGCAAACTGGGTTTTTATTTGGACTTGTTCTTACATCATAACGATGGGAGAGATAAAATGTACATCAAAAGTATCTACACGATAAAGGTTCTTTGTCCGATTTACCTGATTTGTCAAGTTTAGTCATGGACAGATGAATAAGTTCAGTTTTATCTGAATGGATAGACAGATATCATCTCTAAGCTTACATGCCTGTGCTCCAAATTTTAAAATCAAGGGTTATGTCTATGACTTAAACATAGTAAAATAGTAACGTAGTAAAATTTTATAATTTTATACTCATGTGTATATTTGATAATTAGACCTATTATACTTATGATTCACTGGTCGAAATAATAAAAATGAAAACAAAACAAAAGTGGAGAAAAAAAAAAGCCCGGTTAAAGCCCGGAAAAAAACCAAGAAAGTAACCTGAAAAGAGAATATTATCATTTAAAATAAATATACTTATCTTGCGCGTGCATAAAGTTTGGAACCGGATTCGACCTTCGGATTTCCTTCGGATTTGATTTAATCTCGGATATAAAACCGATCTATCAAATCTGTAATACTCACATTGTCTGTACAAATGCATAGGGAACAAAAGTATTCAACCACCAATGGAATTTCTACAACCAAAATGTTTTGTTTTTAAGTGATCGAATATTTTCACTAAAGTGTATGTACTGTATATACAATGATGCTACTATCAACCTAGGCACAACCGGATATTATCAAATAAATTCGGATTTAAATCCAATGCATATTTTTATTAATTAAATTTAATCCGAATCGAAAAACGAATTTTGGTTCCAAACTCTACACGTGCATATGTCAAATAAAAATCAAATATTTAAATTATTTGATTTTTTAATCAAATAATTCAAATCAAATCGAATATTTGATATATTTGATAATCAAATTCAAATCAAATAATTATCCGATTTAAATTTGATCAAATCAAATTTAATCTTGATTTGAATTTGATTTGAAGTCAAATATTTGATCAAATCAAATTATAGAACCCTAATAACTGCACCAAAGTGTACTTTTTTGCAAGCAAAAATAATGTAAAACATATACATATGGGATTGAGTCAATAGAAACCAAGCAAATATTTTTTAGTAAGTTTTTTAAAAACTTTAAACAAACCGAGCCATGAAAATTTATTCTGCCTGAATCACTAGTGCTATGCTGGTAAAAATTATTTAAAAAATTTTTTATTAATTTGGTCAAGGTTTCATTAAGTTATTCTTGTTTAAAGTCATAAAAAAATTTTATTATAAAAAATTTGCTTGATTTTTACTAACTCACCCCCATATACTGTAGTGCACTGACTAAAAGACCTGGGTTCTAATATAAAATACCTGAAAAAAACTTATAAAATACCTGGGGTATTTTGACTATTACTAGGCCAAAATTTTGGAATTTTACCAGGATTACATAATTCTACACCGTATATTATACCCGGGTATTTTACATAGGGGATATTCAAAATGGGGTCTTTTAGTTAGTGCACTATGGTATATATTTTTTAAAAAAAACTTGTAAAAACTTGTAAAAAACTTTTTTATTTAAAAAAAAATTTTAATGTATAATGAATATATACATCATTACATAACAAAACATAATGAAACAAAAACTAGAATTGCTATTTCAATTAGAACAAAAAATTTAAACTATCTACTTGTCTAGATTAAACTTAACCTATTACCCGCTCACTTTAGTTGAAATAAAAAAACTTTATAAATAATAAAATTCACTTTGTAATGATTTCAAATCACAAATTGCACCAACAACAACTTCAATATCAATTGGAAAAAATGATGAAATAGCCAAAAAATATTATAAATATAAAAATATAAAAAATACTAAAAAGAAACTTAAAAGCAAAGTTGAAGGTTTATTCTAAAAATTTAAACTACAATAACAAGAAATCTAAAAAATCTAAAAGAAAAAAAGAGCAGTATTTTTAATATACAAAAAAAAAATTAAAAAGAAAAAATATTAAAAAACAAAACAAAATATCTAAATTATAAATGCTAGAAGCAATAGAAAAAAAATATAGAAGCCTAAAAAGTAAAAAAAGAAAGTTATTATAAACTACCAAAAAAAACATCAAGAATGCTAAAAAAGAAATACTAAGAAGCAAAGCCAAGGGTCTACTTCAAAAAGCTATATTATAAATCTGTAAGGGCCAAGGAAGAAATT